AAAAATTCTTATTTTTCTTTTTTCAAAAAACACATATTTTCTTAAAAATATTAGCGAGATAAGTTGTGTTCTACTAATTTTATTGATATTAGTATATTAATGAATAATTTAGAATTTTTTTAATTCATTTAATACATTTAATAAATATCAAAATTAAAAATACAGTATTTAATAAAAACAGTAGATGCTATAATAAAATAATTTTGAAAGTACAATGATGTAGTAAGAACGTCACATCACTATAGTACATGTGGACAATCTACATGGACAATGAGGTGGCATGGAAACCTAGTATAATGGGTAAATTTAAATCAAAAGGTTACCCAATGCTATAATGGGTAAAAAATTTAAAGTACAATGTCCTAATAAAAAATAGTTTGAAAATACATTGTTGTAATAAGAAAATCTGAAAGTACAATGCTATCATAAAGAAATTTATGAAAGTAGATGGTTATTTTGTGCATTTTGCCCTTATCTTTATGAGAATATAAGTAGACAAAATAAAAAAGAATTTGCAATGATAAAATCAACATAAATGTCAATAGAAGATTGAAAGAACCCTTTTGAAAACATTCAGCTAAATCATAAGATACAAAACAATCATATCACATCATTTTGAAAAGAAGAAGAAATCAACATATTTGCAATTTCTTGATATTGGGAACCTTTGAGGCACTATATCACCAATTTCCGTCAATACTCCGATCAACAAAGCTTCAATATGCAAAATCTTCGGTTGATCATTCTAACAAACAAACAAAAAAAACATCCAACTTATCGTTGATTAGAAAAAATAACAAAAATCAATTCATGATGCAACTCAAAACACAAAATCAATAAGAAAAACTTTTCACAGTTCATAAAATAGAACAAACTTAGTTCATGATTCACCATAAGAAAAAAAATTCAATTTATAATTTATCAAACATATAACCCAATTCTTGAAATCTGAAAAAAAAAAAAAAAAAAAACAAATTCTATAATAGACAATACATTTATTGAAGTTGTGACATGTAAGGATTAAAGTTTTTTATTGCAACCTAAAACTTGTTTTTCAAATAGGAACTCAACTTGATCATAGCACTATATAACATATGGGTATATATAACATTACCATTATAGGTAAAATTTCACTGTACTAATCTCCCGCTATGAAGTAGTCTTGGTTGAACTTGGCTGTGTATGAATGTTTTTAAGAACATAATCGATTGTTTCTTGATAGCAATTATGCCAAAACTAAATAGAGAGGAAGAGATTGAAAAATAAATGGATGAAAAGATAGGGAGATGAAGAGTGGGAGAAAGTAAAACAATTGTAACAAACAATAAGGGGAGTACCAAGAAGTTGAATAATTGGGAGGTTAAACTTAGATTGGATGCAAAATGACCAAAAAATCCCATTTATAATGAAATATACAATTTGTCTAAAGAGGCATAAAAGTTTTTAACTAAATTAGTATTTTAAGAACTAAAGAAATGAGAAAAAAAAGAAAGATAAAAGAGCTTCTAGCAATTAAGACAGGTCATGTTATACATAGTGATTTC